AACGTGCTAATTAGGGCTTTTCAGAGTCAAGGTGCTTGTTTGGAGAGTTGGTTGAGCCTTGCAGCCCAGTCACTGATCTGAAGGTGTGGAGAAAAATCTGAATGGTGCTGTGGCTCCTTTAATACTCTTTTCAGCTGGTCAGACAAATTCAAATTGCATTCAACCTCTTGCAGGCACACAGACGGGATTATGCATTCATATATAGATAAAATTCATGGGGACATACCTGCAGTTCTTGAGGAAAGTGTGTGTGCATGTGTGGGGGTGGGCACCCAGACTTTATTTAATTAATCCTCTTGACTTTCCAACCATGCTCACACTTGTAAGAGTTTTCCACTACTGGAATAATAAAAGCAAGCATTTGCAAACAATAAACACAGGATGGGTTTTGCTTTGGAAAGCAATTCATAAACTGGATTCCATTTTGGGAGAGTGCTGTTTGAACAACCACCTGTAATTAATACATTAGGTAAATGTTTTATTCAGTACAGTTGCTGTTTTCTTTGTCATTTTTTATTGTACTTACTGAAGCGTGCACATACAGTGTACAAGAACTGCAATCATGCACCCTGTGTTTCTCTGATAAAAGAGAGAGAGAGTTCTGAACCCAACAGCAGTGAGGCTGTCAAGTCTGTATAATTGATTGAGCAAAACAAGAAGCAGAAATATCTGTATTTTCCTTAACTTTCTAAAGCCTTGGAACAACCTCAAAAAAGCTGATAAATGGACAAAGCAGTTTGATATATGAGAGAACAGTTTGCTTAATTTATTGCATCAAAACTCCTGTCAAGGGGGAAAAAAACAAAAAAAATCTTTGCACAGAGTATTGAAAGATGAGTTGGAGAGCAAGTGTTTTGAAGGAATCAGCCATTTTTTTCTAGTTAATAACTCAAGCCTTTTGAAAATAAAAAGTGGAATCAAACAATAAACCACTGCAAAAGAGCTTGCTTAGTAAATTAGGCCTCTAAAGAATACAAGAAAATTGATTCATCTTGAGTATTAATGCTCTCTGATGCTATACTTATATTCCAGGAAACATAAGTCTGGAGTTAGGACAGGCAGAGTGTTGTTTTGGGGCTAGTCCAAGATGCGCAGTGGCTGAGAGGAATAAACCAGTTGTTAGAATGTAAAAATGTCACAAGGAAACCATTTGTGCTTCAGGAGCTGTTGCGTTGATTGGTGCGTTGCGTGGGGTAATGCGTAATTAGGAGGTCCAGCTGCACAGTTTTGCGCAGTGAGTACGAAGAACAGGCGTACTGTATTTCTTTAATTTGATTTGCGAAGTCTGGAATGAAGTCAAAAAGGCTTTGCCTCACTAACAGGCACAAATGGGTGGCTTTTTGAGCATCTGTTTTCAAATTGTTGATAAATATCAGGGAAAGCTAGTTACACAAATTCAGACATAACTGTAGAACAGCTTAGCAGCAAGTGCCTTGTGTGTAGGAGAGAATCTATTTTGCTGCGAACTCTGGTCCAGAACTGAACGCAGGGCCCCAGCACTACAAGGCGGCAGTGCTAACCACTGTGCCTCCTAGCCATCCCCTTGTGTAAACTTCTAATTACTTTTTTATATTGTCTTTTGAAGAATAAAATGAGGTAACATTTTGTAATTCCATTCCATTTCCATTCCATTATTAGCAAAAGAGAACAGTTCGACAGGAATTTCTGTCTGAAAGCTTGTCTATTAAAGCAGAAACATTTGAGGTGCCTGTAGTATCTTTTCTCATACTTGATTTAACCAAGGCCAGTTGGTTCATGTTCCTCTTATTCAACACTCATAAGGGTTAAAGGACTCTGGTATTCCTGTGTTGAAGGGAGATCTATAGGGATTTCAGACACCTCTGCAAAGACACCCCCTCCCTTCTGATTTCTGTCCTCCCCATCTGTAAATTTCTGACAAGCGCTAAGGAAAAGGCAGATCAGGATATTGGAATCTTTTGTATCCTTTATTCGTATCTTTTTTTTTTGTTAATTAAAAGTGTTATAGATTAGCTATTCGGGCACTTGCCGGGAGATCAATACTTTGTTAGAGTTGGGCTTTCTTTTTAATCTGCAGCTGTAGACATGCAGCTGTCAGGACAGGGCCCTGATTAATCGCCAGGGCTCGCGGCGGAGCCTAAACGGTCAGATCTTTGTCAGCGTGAGAGTCGTTATCTTCCATCAAAGCCCTGTCAGAGAAACTGAAGTGCTTCACAGAGCTGGTGTTGGTGAAGAGGGTCTATTTGTTTGGATTGGCAATTGCTTTTCCCTTAGTTTGAGAAGACAACCATCCAGTTCATGCCAGTCTCCCAACCTCCTGTCCAGGTTTTGAAATAGCTAAATAACCAACGGGGGAAGGAGATTCATGGCTGGGGTTTCGCCACAAATTTAAGCAGGTTCGAGCCTCAGAATTTCAGCCCACCAACCAAGCACACCATTCCTTTAAAGCACATTAAAACCCTGATTTTCCAGTGCTGATAATGGGTTTGCTAATTAGGAGGGCCACTCCACACGCTCGTTAAAGTGATGAAAATGGAAATGGGAGCCTGTAAAAATTAATCTGGGAGATCACAGGGTAAGACCCACTGAGCAAGAAAGCAGGAGCTTAATTAACATAACGTTTCTCTAGAAAATGGTAAAACAATTATTGCGCAATACAAAGTGTTTTTTTTTATTAGTGCCCAAAATTAAAACCTTTATTCCGAACTGGTCATTGGTAAAACAATTTGGAAAGTGTTATAACGTAACTATTTAAGAATTAGCTTGTGTATAGGATACGGATGTGTACTCTTCTGGACTGGAGGAGCTGTGACAGAGTGGTTGGACTTCATATCATTTATCTACCCATCATTGTAGTCCAGGAGACCTGGCAGTAGGGAAGAGAATCACCTAAGACCCTGTGCTCATGGGCATGCAGTGAGGTGGGGAGCCCAGCTGCCTCCCTTATGGGGATATATACCCAGCAGGACACTTTTCAAGCAGCTAGTCTTGTCATAGGTAGGGGGGAAGGAACACTGAGAATCTGGTGCAAATCCACACAAACATGCAGAGCACATGCCAAGGCTGTTTCACTTAACACCAAGGACCCCTGAGCTGTGAGGTACAACTGTGCCAGCTAGCTGTAGCGTCAACAGGGACTAATGTTTATCTAGAACCCATTGATCTTCCACGGGGTGGGGATCTCGGAGTAGCTGACGTGTCAAGAGTCTCTTTTATGTTAGTTCATTTATTTTCTGTTTGTGGTGGGTGGGGTGGGGGTGAATAAAGTGACTTCTTGATGGTTCATTTCAGCATTTAATACAAGTCTTTAATAAAAGCTAATGGCAAATGGTTTGACCATAAAGTCACTTTCTTGCCCCATGACGAGTGAAGAACTCATTGCACTCATTGCACTCCAGGCAGTGTTTTGGAGTGGGGATGCTCCCTTCTGGTCTTTCCAACTCTGGGCAGGTCAGAACTCCAGCTGAACCCGGAATCTTGCATCTAATGGCAAAATAAGGTAATGTTTCTGATGTTTGGTCCTGTGCGGAGAGAGGCGTGTCTGTGACACCTCTGCTGTCACTGCAAGGACCGGCTGCTCATACCAGCTCACAGATCTAATACACCAGCTTTGATTTGGAGTGTGCTTTACTTGAAATTTTTGTGGAGTTATCTAAATAGGCAATTTATTGATCATCTAGTTTTCTCAATGACCTTAATGCGCCATGCGTGCAATCCATTTAAAATAGAAAAACCACCAACAGCAAAGTCTATTTACAGTAATTTCACAAGAGGGATATGGAGATACAGTGCTGATATCAAGTAGCTAAGACATTCTTTGAATTAACTTGGAATTTAGAGCAGCAGTAACAATTTATTGTGGATACTAATGTTAATTATCTGCCTAATCATGTTAGCATACTAACTTTGCCTTATATGTGCAAAAAGGTCTAATAAGAAGCCATTAGGCAGTTCTGTGTCCTGTGGCATTGTGATTAGCTGAAAAGCTAATGAATATTCATACCCATAATACATTGGCTAAGACACAAACGCATTGTCAGACATGTCCGGGCGTGATTAGCGATTTGTTAGTTCCGTGTACTGTACCATCCCTTCTTTGCGAATAAGTCAGAAGAATATATTTTACTCAATGTGTATTTTGTATGTGCAAAGCTTACTAAATGATCCATGTGGATAATGAAACCAGTATGAAATAGATGTATTTTCAAGTTTGCGCTCTAACATAAGCATATATACATAAAAAGCATATGTTTTCACAAATGCAGTTTTTTGTGTCAGTTAAAAACTAAACTCAAGATGAATCTTTTTAGTGGAAAGTCTCTAAGCCCCATGTGCACTTCACTATATAGATTCAAAAAATATTCTTTTGGGGATGTAATGCTTTTTCATATAATGTGTGTATAAATACAGTATGTGTGTGTTCTTTTGCCAGCACAACAGATTGAAAATAGAATTACTTTAAAAAATCATCAAAATGTTAATGTTAACAAACGGGCTGTTTCTTATCTGTGCACTCCAGTCCCACTAGAAGGCAAAAAAATTCCTCTTTGCATATCTCCATGTACTTGCAAGGGACTCTTGCGAAATGTATCCATTCACTCATTCATTTGATCAGTTAGCCAATCAGTCATTGACGCATTTTGCTCTTTATTTCAAAATGGAGGGACAAAAAAAACCCAGGAACATAGTAAAATCTGAAATTCCTTCTACCTTTGTGAGCCGGTGTGAGTTCTTTGTGAGATTACGTCTGCCTGCTGGTGTCTGAGCTGCGTTTACGTTGGCACGGCTGTTTGATGTCAATTCCAGTGATTTTGGGATTACTTTTCAATAACGGATTAATTCTGTAAGTGCCTTTGGCTGCCTGTGCCCAGACTTTGTAATGCATTACAGTGTGCGATAGGGGAGGAGGGGTGGGAGAATAACTGATTATACACTGTGTTTACTGTAAACATCCTTGGGAGCAGAAGGCCATAGGCTTGGAGTATTAACCTTAATGCCTGAAATATTCAATTTCCTCACAGGGTTATCTGCCTGCAAATATGGAGAGGAGAGAACTAGTCCTGCGCCGAAAGCGAGAGGAATATTTTGGCTTCATCCAGCAGTATTATGACTCCAGGAATGATGAGCACCACCGAGACACCTACAGACAGGTACGGTCCCAGGAGTGTTCCCCCCTCTTTCCCTGAACTCCCTTCCTGTTCAGTAACTTACTGTTTCACTCTCAGCATTTCTCCTCAAACTGCAGGCCTTCAGTCAGTACAGTTCCATACATTGTTTCGAGACCTTTTCATTGATAGTGCCGGCACTTGCAAGTCAGGCAGTTCAAGTTCTTGATTATACTCTGAAATATGCCGCCAAGAAGCGTTGCAGGAATCTCAGATTGGTTTTCTGCTTTAAGCCACCCTGTTCCCACTTCTCCCAGTTCTCCCACTCAGCCATTTGTCCTCAGACACACTGTCAGACCCGTAGGGCCATACAGGTGAGCTGCATTCGGAGGAGTGGTGCCTCTCTCTCTCCAGGAGCCCAGTAAGTGCCAGGGGCACTGTTGTGAGGCAAGCTGTGGACAATCTGCCTGATTGAGGTCCCCTAAGTGCACATCATATAACTATCCCAATAGTGCGCTGCTGCCTGGGTAATCCTGGCCCTAGTGGGCTAAAGACACACCCCAGCTCAAATTGTATTATAAGGTTCAGCTGGCACACTCATTAGGTCCTTTTCTGGATGAGACACATGGGAGCTCTAGAAATGTCATGTTTCATGGTGGAAATAAATATTCCTGCATGGCCCTCCCTTTTCAGAGAAGCACAGGGTGCGTCAGCCTTATGAAGGACATTCATCATGGTTTTGAGTGCTAGTCAGGCCCACAAACTGCTCTGTTTCACATTAGTGAGACATGGGAAGTTACAAATGTATGTGTCCATGGGGGGCATCTCAGCTTGTGAAGGCCCTGCTCAAGGACTCAGGTTGGGCTCTCTAGTTCAGAGGTGGCTGCTTCTAATCCGGGCTTCGCCACTATCCAGCTGTGAATGGGATTTTTCGTGGGATGGTGCACATTTTACTGAGTGTCGGCTTCTGTGAGCATAAAGTGAAAATAGATGATAACATGAATAATAAATCATTAAGCTTTACGTTGCATTCATAAATCTCGTTCATTGTATCTTTTATATGCCACTTTGCACATCAGACTTCTGAAATTTTTGGAATAATTTAAGTCCTACTTATGTGTCAGCACGATTCTTGTGCTGGATTACTGCCGTCATGATCACTGGACAGGTTAGGGAGAAAATGGAGGAGTGAAGTGCTGGCTTTCTGGGATTTAATATTGACTTCCCCAAATTTATTTTTAATAATTTTTTAAGTATTGACGCAGATAATCACATGTAGAAAGCCATTTAGGAAATTCCATGTCATTTAGCAAAGGTAAGAATTTAGTAATTTTTCCGAAAAATGCCCTGGCTATTAGAGAGAGGTGTGTTGGTCTTCTTTTCGATGTCTTAACCCTGCATTTGTGCTGGCAGTGATAAGAGAAGCAGAAGAACTGAAAGTGTGTGGGTTGGTTATATCTCTCCTTCGAGGGTTGTAGTCATGACCTCAACAGCTTAAGAATTAGGGTCTCCAGAAGAAGGGTTAATAGTTGGCAATTCAGACATTGTGGCATAGCCTTGCCCATCTCCTGGAATAAACAGAATGCCCTTTTGCCCTCTAGGGAGAAGTGACTTAACATTCATGCCTTGATGTACAAAACTATTCCTCTAACTAACCAGCAAAACAAACTCTTCCCATCCTTTTTTTTCCTCCCCTGAGATATTGTTTAATGTGTGGCACATAATCCTGCAAACATCGACTGCCTTTAAACATTTCCCATGGCCTTTTCTTGAACGTTTTACTGAGAACTCCTGCAGACCCCATAAATAAAGCATGAGCTCATATGTTATAAAAATTTGTACAAGTTGAATTTTAATTGCACATGTTAAATATTAGCCATTAGCTTAGGCTGTCTGCCCTGTAACTAATGTTAGGCACACGTCTAATCGCAGTGCACAGCTCCCTTGTTGATGTTCGCTTTGGAATTGCTGTTGTTTCAATGTGTAGTTCTTCAATTATTAAAACACATAATTTCATATCCAGGCTTTATGACAGAGGAACGGTACTGATTTACAATGTTTTACTGCAAACAAGAAATGTTGCTCGGAGCTGCAGGTTATGATTGATAAAAAGGTTAAGATAACATTTGCAAGTAATCTGAAGAAGAGAGTCTTCTGCTTGGAGAATTGCTTTTGTAAATTGCCCTTTTCTTCTCATCCCAGGCTGTTTTCAAATTGGTGGCTCTTGGCATGGCAGGCAATTAAATCTCAGAATTGGGGTTTTCTCAGGTGGAGCCTCGTTTGCCTTGCCTCTGTTCCTCTTCTCTGTCATGTTCCCAGCTGTCAATGTTAAATCAGGGAGCTGGGAATTTCTCCTCATTCCTAAAGAGACGGATATTTAGCTTTGACATTTTATGCTGTGGGGCAGCATGGTGGCACAGTAGTTAGCACTGCTACCTTGCAGTGTTGGGGTCCATGTTCTATCCTTGGGATGCTATCTGTGTGGACATCATATGTTCTCTGTGTTCCTGTGGGTTTCTTCTAGGTGCTCTAGTTTCCTCCCACAGTCCCAAAACACACTGGTAGGTTAACTGGTTTCTGGGAAAATAGACGTGTGTGTGTGTGTGTGTGTGTGTGTGTGTGTGTGTGTGTGTGTCTCTCTCTCTGTCTTCTCTGGGATGAACTGATGTCCTATTCAGGGTGTACCCTGCTTTGCAGCCACTCCTTGCTGGGATGGGCTCTGGCTCCCCTGCGACCCCAGTGTCCTTCACACCCTGCCCCTGCACTGCCCAGTGATCTGAGGAATGTAGAAGGTTGGCAAGTGGAGAAAAAACTAAAAGAAGCCTGCATTCTTTCATAGTACAGTACTTCCTCTGAATGCGGAGCAGTTCAATGATTTCATGATTCCGATGATAAAAACAGTCTACACTCCAGTACAGAGATGTGTACTGTAAGTCTCTTAAGTAAGCACACTCCAATTTCCCTGTCTGCCACTGCAGAAAGGGTAATGTTGATGGACAGTTGCTTAAAAATACAGTATATTAAGCCTGTATGACTAGGATGCTTTAAAGGAATAAATAAGTAGTTTTTGATTAATCATAATGTGACAGACTGTCCACACTGTTTATTCTGTAATTGTTTCAGAACATCTACATAAAGACACATAGCCAATGTCTCACATCAACACTTTGCTTCAGCTTTTTCTGTGTTCCTCCATGAGACTTGCCCTTTGACCACCTCGCGCAGATTGACTCCTGCCCATCCAGACGTTGGGTGCACCCACACCATAAAAAAGCTGTTAGAACACCTGCATGGTAGGCTGGTGCCAGGTTAGTGGTTGTGAGGGAGAGAAAGACTGATGGAAAAGTGTTTTTTTCTCAGAAAATGGACTTAAACCTCCAATAGAAAAAGTCTGTTCTTGTTGCAGCTTACTTTTGTAGAAAAGCAAATTTAGTGATAGATATTGACATACCTGTAGACTGAAACAGCAGAAAAGGCGTTGTGTGGTTCAGAGCTGCACTGACCAGCACTTTGTCTGTTAAATACTGTAGCAATTGATGGGCAGAAGAAGAGTGAGTTTTCAGTAAAGTTTTATTTATAGTAAATTAATTTGAAAAATAGATTTTTTGTATGCCTAATGAACTATAGAAATAACTTTTCTTAGCAGATACTTATGTCTGCTGGTAGTACATTTTTGTTGCGGGTACGTTCTCCTCCTTTTGGGAGGTAAACCAGAGACATGAACAAATATACAAATGATAAAAAAAAAAAACTTTTTAAGGCTGTGTTAGTGCTGCAGCCTGGTCTTTTCTGGTGGTTGTTTTAAAGGAGACCCCATTAGCCCTATACAATTTGTTGCATTAGGAATTAGTCTTTTCACATACCCCAGCTTGCTCTCCATGAGACACATAGACATACAGACAGGGAGAGAGCCTGGGGTCAGAGCGCAGGGTCAGCTATTGTACAGCGCCCTTGGAGCAGTTGGGGTTAAGGGTCTTGGCTGCGGGATTTGAACCGACAACCTTCCAGCCACAGATCCTTAGTCACAGATCCACCGCTCCGCCCATTAGATGCTGACATCAGTACACTTGGAATTTCCTGTCATGTGTTAGAATGTGGAATATTAGATCACGTTACTGTGTATCACTAAATTTAGTTTTTGTGTCGTACAGACATAGATTACTTTATTTACTAAAGCTGGTGTCTCTAACCTTAAGATCATCTATTTCTAAAGACTGACAACATCTGTATGTTATTGATGAATGAAGCTATTTGTTCATTTTAAGTAGTTTGTTCAGTTGAATACACACTGGTCCTTAAGGGCCAAAGAGTACTCAATTTATAGTCCCAAATGATCTCTATCTAAATTAACAAATCGCTGTCTTATCTGGTCACAATGAAATTGTTTCAGATCTTTAGGAATATGGTGGTTTAATGGTGACCCAAAAGAATTGCTGGTCCCTAGAACCAGGGAAAGAGACCCCTGCTATCTGCTACAAATGCAGACAGTTCTCATCCAATTTCTTTGAAAAGAGGAGTACCTTATCCTTTGAAGTCATTTGATAGATTATAGGAATCTCTTTTTCTGTTTGAGATATTCAGTTTAGGGCAAAGGAATGTAGAAAGAGATTTAGATCTCTTTATGTGTGGTAGATGAGTTCAGATTGAATGATATTACAGATACTACCTCAGCCTGGGTTCAAAGCGTGCATTAATGCACACAATCACTTAGTTCTGCTGTGGGTCTCTACGCTACTGAAGAATTATTAAGTTAGAGTATATTAGTGATGACACAAAGCAGGAAGTGTTCTGATTTAAAATAACACTGGTTGTGGATTTCTTGATGACCGTGGCAGGAGTTTGTGTTAAAGCATGACAAAATCTTTAATCATTTATCAGATGTGAAAATGTGGCTTGTTCCTTGTTTGTAAGCTCTGTATTACTTTCCATTCACAGTGTCAGTAAGAGGGAACATAACGACACATTCCTGCACAAGTGATAAAGGTTGAACTCCATTCCATTGGGAACATAAATCTTCATAACAAAATCTCTTTTTACATTACAAG